AAAAAAAAAATAGAAAAACGCCACTAGAATTATCTTGATAAGTAGATCTACTCGTGCTCAACAAGAATGATGAAGACACTCTTTGAATACGACTCACAATATTATTGATTTTAATATTGAATGCTTACTATGTAGACTTGATGACCTATTTACAGGATAAGCTATGTGAATAAAAAGGTAATAAAAATATCCTAATTAAAATTACAATTATATTGAAAATTAATTTAAAATAAAGTCTAAATTCCTAACTAGCTGCAGTTATATATGAAATTAATTAAAATTAAAGTCAAAATTTCTAATTATGATAGATATGGTCTTCCCCCTTTTCTTGGCTGATTGCTTCCTTTTCTAATCCATTTCCATCATACACTTGAAGAAAGTTGATAAAACCATTATTCCATTGGATTAATTGGTTGGGTAACTTATTTTCCAGGGCTTTTTTTGTGGATCCAAACCCATCTTCCTCATTAATCCAAGCTTGGATGAAGAGTTGAAAAACTTGTTGTAATCCTTAGGTCTAGCTCCTACTTATGGACCCACTTAGTATGATGATGTCTCTTCCATGTGGCCCAAGATGATCTATGCTTACATCATCTCCCTCCTCTTCAAGATGATTCATCCTCGAATCTGGACCTGTATTGAAAAAGGAAAGGTTAGCAACATCAAAGGTGGTGGAAACACCATATGTACCTGGGAGATTTATCTTGTAGGCGTTGTCATTGATGCGCTTCAAGAACTGGAACGGGTTAGTTCTTCTTGGGTCAAGCTTAACTTCCTTTGTTTAGAAAATCTTTTCTTCCTCATATGGACCCATACCCAATTTGCAGGTTGAAATGTGACTTGTTTTCTCCCTTTATTGGTTTTGTGGGCATATGATTAGTTCTTTTTCTCCAAGTGCTATTGTGGCTTTTTATGTATAGTTTTGATAAACTCTGCTCTTTGTTGTCCATCCAAATTAACAAGTTCATGCAGAGGTAAATGAGTTAAATCAATTGGGGTTAGTGAGTTAAACCCATATGCAATCTCAAAAGGAGATAAGCTAGTGGAAAAGTGAATAATCTTGTTATAAGCAAACTCCATTAAAGGTAAACACTCTTCCCACGTTTTAAATTTTTTTCCAACTACCGCCCTTAATAGGGCTCCTAGAGTCCTATTAACTATTCCTGTCTGTCCATCTGTCTAGAGGTGATAGGTAGTGGAAAATAATAGTTTAATCCCCAATTTTTGCCATAAGATTCTCCAAAAATGATTTAGGAACTTGACATCCCTATTATTAACTATGGCCCTGGGGACACCATGTAGTCGCATGACATCACTAAAAAACAGATTGGTTATATTCATTGACATCATTTGTTCTATGACACGTTATAAAGTATGCCATTTTACTGAACCTGTCCACTACAACGAATGTACTATCACTTCCTCACTTAGTCCTTGGTAACCCTAACATAAAATAAATAAACACATCCGTCTATGGTACTGACGGAATGGATAATAGAGTGTATAGTCTGTGCGGTAAGGACCTAGACTTAGCTTGCCTACATATAATACATTTCTTACACACTTGCTCTACATCCCTGCGCATGTTAGGCCAATAAAAGTGTTTCTGTAGAATACTTAGAGTCTTAGTTACCCCAAAATATCCCATGAGTCCCTCACTGTATGACTCACGTACTAACAGTTTCCGCTTGGAGCATATAAGTATACACAATTTTTCATTTTTAAATAAAAATTCATTGTGCCTATAGAACTTATTGAAGGCACATTTTTCACATGTTGCATAAACATTAGCAAAGTCACTACCATTAGGGTATAATTCTTTAATATACTCAAAGTTGAGCAATTTAGAACTAAGAGTTGTAGGTAATATATACCTACGTGACAATGCATCCGCTACAATATTGTCCTTACCTTTCTTATACTTGATGACATAAGAAAATGTTTCAATGAATTCTACCCACCTACCATGTCAGCGGCTGAGCTTACCCTGTCCCTTTAGATATTTTAATAATTCATGATCTATGTGGATCACAAACTCCTTAGGTATGAGATAATGCTGCCATACCTCCAGTGCTCTCACTAGTGCATATAGTTCTTTATCGAAGGTGGAGTAATTAAGAGGTGCACCGTTGAACTTTTAATTAAAATAGGCAATGAGGTGCCCTTCTTGTAGCAGTACTGTTCCTACACCAATACCTGAAACATCACATTCAAGCTCAAATGTTTTGTCAAAATTTGGTAATGCTAGAATAGGCGTAGTATACAACTTTTCTTTAAGTAAAGTGAAAGCATTTTCCTGTTTGTCAGACCATATAAATTTTGTGTCCTTCTTAACAAGTTCATTTAAAGGTGCCACTATGGAACTGAAATCGCTTACAAACCGTCAGTAGAAATTGGCTAGCCATGAAAACTCATCACCTCGCTTGTAGTCTTAGGCGTAGGCCAATTTCTAATGGCTTTTACTTTCTCATCATTTACTTCAATACTCTGTGTGCTAACAACAAAGCCCAAAAAGATCAAGTTTTCACTACAAAAGGTACACTTTTTGAGGTTAGCATACAACTTTTTTTTTCGCAATATTGCTAAGACACTTTTAATATGCTCAACGTAATCTTCTAATAATTTGTTATATATTAAAATATCATCAAAGTAAACAACTACAAGCTTACCAAGATATGGCTATAAAATATGATTCATCAAATACATAAATGTGCTAAAAGCATTAGTCAAACCAAAGGGCATAGCTAACCACTCATACAAACAGTACTTCGTTTTGAAGGTAGTCTTTCACTCATCTCCAAAATTCATACGAATATAATGGTAGCCATTATTCAAGTTGATCTTGGTGAAGATGCTTGCGCCACTTAACTCATCGAGCATACCATCGAGTTGGGGAATGGGGTCTATACTTAACTGTGATTTTATTCACGACAATCCACACACATCCTCCAAGATCCATCCTTCTTGGGTATCAACAGGACTGACACTGCACAAGGACTTAAACTTTCACAAATATGTCCATTCTCCGACAACTCCTCTACTTGTCTTTGAAGATCCTTTATCTCCTCAAGATTGCTTTGGTAGGCGGGGCAATTGGATATCGATGATCCAAGGGTGAAGTTGATCCGATGCTCAATCCCTCGTATAGGTGGTAATCTATCTAGTATCTCTTCCAGAAATACGTCATCGAATTCCTGTAAAATAGACAACAAAATACTAGGCAAAGTGGGGGTTAAGGTTAGTTAAACTCAAATAAGCCTCCTTATACTGAAGTACAACTAGACTTTATTTTTCACAATACACTCACCTCAACTCTCTCTACCTAAAAAGTAGACACTCTTTTTTCTCTTATTTCTTTTCTGTCACTATGCATTCTATTTTCTTTTGGGCCTCTTTTTGTTCACTCATTGGGCCTTTTCTTTTTTTGGGCCTCTTTTGTTTCTTTTTCGTTATATGCTGTTATTCTTTCCATTTACTTTTTATTTTTAAACTAGTCTTCATATACCTCCTTAGGTGTCAACGGGATAAGAGTGTAATTAAAACGCCCGTTGAAGCTAAAGGCATAGCAATTCTAAAACTGTCATGTGTAACTCACCAGTCATATTGCCAT